ATACTAAAGCTTCACCTGTGTATGCCTCTCAAAGGGCTGTTGGGAAAATATGAAGGGTAGTGCACAGAAGAAACTAAAAATAGAAGGGGAAAAAAAAGCAAAAATCTTACAGATAGTTGCTGCAGTAACACATCAATGCCATCCATCTCACCCAGTAGTTCTCTGGTATCTGTGAAGGAGAAAAATAAAAAGGAAAAGACAGCAGGGAGATCATGTCGAGATGGTGGCAAAAAAAGACATTTAGTGAGCAGCGGGGAGGACAGAAAGCAGGAAAAAGAATGTTTAAGTGGACAGAGAAAGAGGAAAACAAGAGAAATTTGGGGGGGGAGTGCTTCAGAGGGATAAATACTGAGGAACACAACTGCTACGAGGGACCTCCAGAGAGTCAGCAAATGAGGAAAAATGAGGGCATTGACAAATACACATCCTCACAAGTTATTCCATGTAGACCTGAGCATTACACAACACACCTCTGCTTCTCAGCAGACCCAACTGACACACACTCACACGTCCTATAAATTGACATTAGAAAGTGGCACACACAACACTAATAATATTATGTGCTATGACTTTTTCCCCCTTTACCTTTCTTTGCTCGCTTTACAATAAACAGCTGAATGAGCTGGAGAACATGATCAATTTTCATGCTATTTATGGACTGGGATGGGATGCTGAATTTTAAAATGCGCTCTTTCAGAGTCCAGTTTTAAATCCAATTCAACATTAAAATTAGCACATCAAAGCGCTTTACAAACTGGCATTTTCTTAGCAGCTGTATGATTTGCTGTACTCTTACTTCAAATAAGGTACATCATTTCTGGCAGCATTTCTCAAAAGAAAGAAAAATGTTCTTTTGTAAAAGAAATTTTTTTTTTAAGATTTACATTATATTTTGTGTTCGAAAGGTAAGTGGAATAGGATGGAGGCAGCGCGAGTGAATGAGAAGGGTGGTGAGCTTAAAATGAGACAACTCCAGCTGAATGTCAATGTAACTTGTACCATTAACGATTACTTGTTTAAGGACCAGATAGTTCTGTGGCTATGTGAGGCTCTACTGGGTTTTTAGTGTTAGCGGGAAAGACGGCAAATGCACAATGAGAACGAGAAACATTAAAAGGTAACATGAAGTCATAAAGTGGTGGAAGGAAAAAGAAAGGGAGAGAAAAGAAAAGGTAACACTAAGGAAAAATATGTAGGGAGGGAAAAGCGAGCACGGAAAGGGCACAATAAGATAAGGCTGCGACAGACCATAACTAAGCCTAAACGCGCAGAAAAAAGGAATGAAAAGAATGGAAATAGGTTGGCAAAAATATGAAAGATAAACTAATATCATTTGGAATCCACAAACCATTTAGTGAGA